TATAATTGAAATCTTGTTAGCACTTAGGGTCTTGTATTGCTTATGAGCTCATATAGCTCGAGAGAGATCGTGCTTTTAGGAGTAATGCAGAGGAAGATGGTGGATCACTCCGAGAAAATAATTTTGAGGGAGGGACTTCCCTTATAGGTCTTCCCCTTCCTTATACATAACAGAAAGTAAGATAAAAACATTAATAAAATTATATCTCGAATGGTACTACATCCGTACACGATATAATGGGGCTTGGGTCTGAGATGATGTCATATAAAATGACGGACATATGCACTCTTATGTAATGATGATTTTCTTCGATGGCGGTTTTACCTCGGGCTGGTCTGACCACTTCCACAAGTAGGCGTAGTTCCGCCCACTTCGACGGATGGGCTCAGACTGCTTCACAAACTTCTAAGGCCCCCTAAGGTCTATTTATTCTTACATATTACTCGTGTATAAATCTTTCTTTGACATGTATCTTGTTCTTCTGATAAATTAATGCACTATAATTTTTTCAAATATATAAAATTAGTATTAACAAAAAGAAAAAAATATTAATATCAAGCGTTCTCATACATCACATTTTCTTATATTAAATATAATTTAATTGTTAGAAACTATATTTAATAATATTAAAAAAAATTAAATTTTATTATTGGATAAAAATAATTAAATAATAATATCTCAAACAAAAGGGCTTGTGAGAGAACAGCTATTTCACCTAATGCCAGCTAGTTACTGAAAATAGCTGCATTATTAAAACCTTTTTCCCATCAAAACCGCTACTATTTCCTAATTATATTTTCAGACAATCTTTAAAATGCTCTGTAAATTATTTAAGGCTCCATTTCTCACCTACTTATCCCACAGCACCATTTCAATCAATTTTTCTTTCAACAAAATATACATCTAACTGTTTACAAATTGTGGTATTTACATATATACCAACCAATTCTCATGTCTTTACACATCTGATGTTTTGATGTTAGATATGTAAATACATGAGATTGAGTGGTCTATATATATATATATATATATATATATCTTTCTTTCTTATAAATTTATATTTATAATGTAAAAATTAAAAAATTAAATTTTCTCGTCCACAAAGGCGCTGAAAACCTGGTCAAAAGGAAGAAGGGGAGCAACCAAAGAAAGCGTAGCACAAAAGAGTTGATCAGAAAGAGAATCTGGTCATGCTGAAAAGATTCATACATAGCTGCCCTCCACCCTACCCATATTATTCTCATTATAATTCTGCATTTTTCATAATCTATATATTATATGAAACATATTATATTTTCTTTAATCTAACATTTTCACTTCTTCTATATAATCTATATAATCATTAGCATCACACGTCAATTCCAATCAAATGCAACAATTAATTTTTAGGAATGAATATGGGAGTAAAATATCATTTTTTTAAGGGGGGTAATTGAAAATTACTCTATAAATATAAAATTGCAGTTGAAACAAAATCTATATATGGAGAAAAGATGAAATAATTTTTGGGTGCATCTATGGGTGGGGTTGAGAACGGAGGCATTATTGTGGGGCCCACCAGCGGCACATGATAGCTTAAAACTCTTTCCACAGGCTTTAATAACAATTCAATGAATTGGCCACTTGAGAGTGCATTATATTACAGATTGCACAGTAACAGAAGATGCCCTAAAAATATATAATAATAATAATAATAATAATTAAAAAAAAAAAAGGCCTAAATCACTTCACTGGAGCTACGGGCCCCACGTGTCCTTCGCGTGTTTCATATCCAATCCAATCTCTTCGTATTTACATTATCCAACACATAAAATTTAATATTTACATTTCAGACTCATGAACCTGTTCATTAAAAATTCATTTTCTTATAAATAAACCAACGAAAGAAATAATTAGCTCAAACCTAAAAATGAGATCATACTATACTGTAAATAGTAAAGTTTGGAGTGGTATATATGTAATTGCCCCTATAACTGCGCTTAAGCTATGAACTGATTAAACTCATGATTACTTTTTGTTTTAGCAGCCTGATTTTTTAACAGCAAAAACTGGATTAAGACAAACTACAAGAGACAAAAACACTTTAATACAAAGTAATTAAATATTTAAACCAGCTTTTGGTAAAATAATAATAATCCTAACAAGGAATCAAACTTGCATGTGTGTTGCATTCTTTACTTCAAAAGCTGTCCTAACTAGAGTTAACTGTTCTACTCCCGGATAGATATAATTAAACTAAACAAAAACCAAATAAAAACAAATAAAATTACTGAGTAGTCCCCATCTATTTACATTTTGTCATTTTAATCCCAGAAATTATACAAGTACTTAAATAGTCCCAATTATTTTAGAATTAAACTCTAATTCTACGGCAAAAAAATGAGTTGAGATATGGGGTAGAGAGTTCACATATATATATATATATATTTATATATACATGAAACCAGGGTGTGAAATGTGAAACAGGCATTCCTACAAATATGATACAATAATTGCATCTAAGAGAAACTAATGAAATTTTACCAAATGTGTTGGAAGTAATTGTAAGAATTGCCTTAGTTTCATATGGGAAAAAAGAGGTAAAAAATCCAACTCCTCTGCTCTACTCTACTCTGGTCAATCTTTCTCCTCCTTCCCTTCCTCCTTCAAGCTCATATCAACCACCGTAAAACCATCTCCTAAACAGGCGGCGGTGGCGACGGTCGAAGCTGCCGAGCTCACCATCGACCCCGCTTGAATCTCCTTGAACATGGCCATAACCCTAAGCATCGTCGGTCTCCTCAAAGGCCGATCATCCAGGCAGGCACAAGCTATCTTAAGATGCTCCAACAGCTCCAACTCCATCCCCGGATCATCCTTCAGAAGCTCGGGATCGAAAACATCCACGATCCTGAGCTTCGAATGCTGCTTCGCCCAACCTACGAGATTGTTGTTGTCGCCGAAATCGGCAGAGTCAGTCGGCGGTTTTCCGGTTAGAAGCTCGAGCAGCACGACGCCGTAACTGTATACATCGCCTTTCGTTGTGCAACGGAAGCTCTGGTAGTACTCCGGGGGGACGTAACCCGGAGTTCCGGCAAGCGTTGAGACACTGAGATGAGTGTCCATTGCGCTCATCAATCTCGCCATTCCGAAATCAGAGACTCTCGCTTCCAAATTCTCATCAAGAAGCACGTTGCTGGATTTCATGTCTCTGTGTATGATGTGAGGGATGCAGCTGTGATGAAGGAATGCCAGACCTCTCGCGGCACCAATGGCAATCTTCCTCCTCGCTGGCCAATTGAGCTTCATGTTCGCCTTCTTCCTGTTATGCAGAACATCCTCCAAGCTGCCATATTTCATGTATTCGTAAACAAGCAGGCGTTCTTCTCCAACCTTGCAGTAACCCAAAAGGGGAACCAGGTTCCTGTGCTTGATCTTTCCAATGGTCTCCATCTCCGCAAGAAACTCACGGTCACCCTGGCCACTGATGTGAATCAGTTTTTTGATGGCGACGATGCTGCCATCCTTGAGCTGAGCCTTGTAGACATCTCCGAAACCACCAGAGCCGATCATGCTGTTGTCATGGAAGCCATTAGTGGCCTCCAGAAGATCGGCAAAGGTGAGTTTTTTAAGGGGTTTTTCAAAGGTGGCGAGGTTGATGCTGAGGGCTTCCTTCGTGGTCGTCATCTTCCAAGCGGTGGAAGAATGAGAGAGGCTGTCGACATAGATATCTTTGGTGCTGCTTCCATTATCCTTTACTACTCTGCTCCTCTTCTTGCTCTCTACTGCGATGAGGATGACGGCGATGATGCAGAAAACAGAGAAAAGAAGCCCTAACGAGACGCTGCCAGCAATGGATGCTTGCCGGCGGTGAGATTTCGGATCTTGATTGTTTGAGCTTGAGAAGGAGTTTCTGTCGCAGGGAAGAAGAGGGAGGCCGCAGAGGCCGGAGTTGTTCTCATATCTGTAACTGGGGAAGGTGACGAGCTGACCAGATTCAGGAATTGTTCCATTGAGCTTATTGTTTGAGAGATCAATTTCAGAAAGCATGGAGAGGCCGCCCAAACTTGCTGGAATGGAACCCTCGAGAGAATTATGTGAGAGATCAAACACAGCAGCATATCGCAAGCTACCTAATTCTACTGGAATCGGACCAGATAGAATATTGTGGCCTAAATTCAACACCATGAGATAATACATCTTACCGAGCTCACTTGGAATTTGGCCGGTGAGATCATTGTAAGACAGATCAAGAAAAATCATGGAGCCCTTCTTGTTGAAAGTGTACCTGGTGCTCCCAACATACACTCTGGTGAAGTTACAGGGATGACTCGGTAGTCTCTTGAGCTGTTCTGGTCGGATTCCGGCGAATTCTAGGAGATTTCCGGCGCCGCGGCACTCCTTGCTTCCATCGTTCTTTAAATAGACAAATCTCTTTCCAGTAACGAATCCGACCGCTATATTGCCGGATTGTTTAGCGAGAGTGGATGGGATAGTGCCGCTCAGACGATTGCTGTTGAGATCAAGCCATATGAGGCTCTTGCAGTCACCGAGCTCCGGTGGAATGGAACCGGAGAAGGAGTTGTTTCCAAGCTTAAGAATGGCGAGATTCTCCAGCCGGCCAATCCAGGAAGGTATTTCGCCGGTGAAGTGGTTGCTGGAGAGAGACATCCAGTTGAGATTGGTGCAGTTGCTGAGAGCAGAAGGGATTGAACCGGCGAGAGCATTGTTGTCGAGGATTAGGTTTTGGAGAGCGGTGCTGTTGCCCAGATCGTCGGGGATCTCACCTTCGAGGAGGTTCTGCCACATGATGAGATCCCGGAGCAGAGGAAGTAAGGCGATGGAGGAAGGAATCTTTCCGGTGAGGTAATTGAAGCTGAGGTCGATGGATTCAAGATTCGAACAGTTGCTCAGCGTTGCCGGAATGGGGCCGGTGAACAGATTGTTCTGCAAATGAATCTCTCTTAAGCTGCTGCTGAAGCTGAAGGGAATGAAGCCAGATAAGGCGTTGGAGCTGAAATCAAGAACTTCCAGTTTGGTGATATTGCGGAGGGATTTGGGCAGTTTGCCGGAGAAATTGTTGAATGAGAGCAGCAGGACTCTTAGATCGGAGATATTAGCGAGGGTTTCGATGGGGATCTCACCAGAAAAATTATTAGCCGAGAGATTTACTTCCTGCAGGGAAGAACAGTATGCGAGGTCACCATACAGAGAACCGGCGAGATGGTTCGAAGATAGGTTGAGGACGGTGAGTTCCCCGCATCCGTCGAGCACACCATCGCCAAACTCGCCGGAGATGGCATTGGACGAAAGATCAAGAAAGCGGATTCCGGGGCCAGAAACTAAGATTCGTCGGAGGTCGCCCATGGACGAAATACTATTGAAAGAAAGATCAAGTGTCTCCAGTAACGGGAAGCTGAACCCGCTTTCACCGGAGCCCGTAACCGCGTTGCCGGAGAGGTTCAATGATCGGAGAGCAGAGCACAACGAAGCCAGCGCAGCAACATCGGCGATCGTCCCCGTGACATTGTTTCCGGCGAGAGAGAGCTCGAAAATCCTTCCACCGCAGCGGGAAGCTCGACTGATGCTGCCGGAGAGGTTTGAAAAGCGAATGGAGAGTGATTCCAGGCGGTCGAGCACGAGGAGAGTGTAAGACACGGTGCGGAAGTCGGCGTTGAGAGGGATATTGTAGAGATCGACGCCGGTGACTCGGCCGGAGGTGCAGGAAACGCCGGTGAAGGAGGAACAAGGGTTTCTGTTGGGGATCCAGGTGGAGAGTGCTTGGGGGTTGGGTAGAGAGCGCTTGAACGAGAGAAGAAGGTTGAGGTCGTCTGCGGCGGTGAGAGAAGAGGTAAAGAGGAGGAGGAGTAATGTGAGGAGAGAGGAGGCCATGAAGCAA